GCACGCAGCAAGTCAATTGCCAGTTTCATCAACACAACTCACTTGCTGCATTGCTGCATGGTAGTCCACAATTCAATGCCTGTAATAATGATTGTCACAAAATGGCAAAGAACATGGCATTGCATGTTGTACATGCCATTCAAATATGGCAATATTGGATTGATTGCCAAAAATGGCTATGTTGTACATATTGCCACAAAATGACATTATTGTATATATTGCCAAAACTCGCAAATTAAAATTGTCATGTTGAGTTGATATGTTTGTGGCACACAACTTGCCACGTTGCCACAAACCATTCAAGAAATTGCTCCAATATGGTTGCATTTTGCAATGGCCAAAACATGGCAAACATCAAAAAGCACCTGTGACCATGTGTCTATAGCAATACTTTTCAATATGTTGCGTCAATTTTGGTAACACTTGTTTTTTACAATTTGCATACATGTTGATGTCTAATTCTTTTGATTATGCATGAACAAGTGTGCACTGAAAAACAAATGTAATCAGTTTTCATTTATCAAAACATGTTTTCATCCTATTTTTGTGAAGTTAGTAACATCATGGTAACAATGCTAACTGTTAGCAGAGTTAGCAGTGTTAGTGTTAGCCTTGTTATCTTAGTTAATTAACTTTTACTGAAAGTTAATATCATATATGTAAGCGTTAGCATTGTTACACCGTGTTACAACTATGTTATGACCATGTTAGCTAACTCTCATAACAACAAAAGCGGACAATGTAAGCAAGTGGCCACTCCCGATCGTTGCCAGGCGATTGACCCACCAGCGTCCATCTCGTCCTCGATGTGCCAAGTAGTCACCGTGGTAGGAGACAATGGTTTGCTTCATCCTCATCACTCTGGAACCAATTCAGCTCCTCCATCAAGTAGGAAGAATGGAATCCCTCCCAGGGCATCCCTGACCTTCAAACGACCACGTCAGTCACAGTCGATCATTTTTTGGCTTGGTCGACGTTTTTTCGGCGTGGTCGACGTTTTTTTGGACCATCGTTGCTTTTTTGGCTTCTTGCCTCCGCAACCAAAAAAAGTAAAAAAAGATCACACTGGCTGTGAAATTGATTGACCGTATTTTGGCAGGGTTGAACGTATTTTGGCAGGGGTTGACCGTGTTTTGGCAGGGGTTGACCGTATTTTTGCGGGGGTTGACCATATTTTGGCTAGGGCGCTTTTCAGGGTGAATTCTGCAAACTATGAGGGAAGGAAAATTGAACACAGATCTTGCTTTCATGTTGGATTGGAGCTATTTTGGTCTGGAGATGAATTACAATTTATTACGATTCAGCACCATACACTATAAATGCTTGACACGCTTTAAATGATTATACCTTTGTCCAGCTTTCGGGCCAATTTCTACTACGATGATTGGCAAACACTCATGCTTGAACCTTTTGTCGTCGTGACTTGCTTGGCTCAAAGGGGTACCGACCAAGTGCAGTGGTCACGGGGCTGGCGCTTTGACTTCTCAAGGCTGCAAGGCCGGGAATGGCCTTGCAGGGACTGGCCAACTCACGTGACTTCTGATCAGGATGGAGGAGACCCAACTGGACGTGCCCTGCTTCATATAAAGATATTTGCAAAGCATATATATGTAAACAATGATTTTTCATTTTTATTTTTTAAGCTTTTTTGTTCACGTTGCTCGACGGTATTTTGGCAGGGGTCGACGGTATTTTGGCAAGCTCTAGGTTTCGTGCTCGTGCGATATACTTTCTTTTAGTCAAATTTTGCAAAAAACGTGCGTTTTTGATAAAACGCGCGGAAAAAGCGTACGCTTTTTGGGTTCCGGCAGGGCCAGAAAGGTAAAAATTAAAGGAACTCACGATCATCAGCAAAAAGCGTACGCTTTTTTGGTTCCGGCCGAACAAAATTGTAGCCGGAAAGGAGAAAAGAAAAGGAATGAGAGCAAATGTGTCTAGAGAAAAGGAAAATTTGAGGAGAAATGCAAAAAGCATACGCTTTTTTGGTTCCGGCAGAACAAAATGTACGTGGAAAGGGAAAAAGAAAAGGAACGAGAGCAAGTGTGTCTAGAGAAAGGGAATAATTTGAGGAGAAAGGCAAAAAGCGTACGCTTTTTTGGTTCCGGCAGAACAAAATGCACCCGGAAACGGAAAAGAAAAGGAATGAAAGCAAATTGGTCTAGAGAAAGGGAAGAATTTGAGGAGAGAGGCAAAAAACGTACGATTTTTGGGCTCCGGCCAAGGCGCATGCTAAGAAAACGCGCGCAGAAAGCCCAGAGATATAGCTATCGATATCATATAGCTAGGGCCAGCCTAAAAAAGCGTACACGCCAAAAAATGGACAACGGCGTTTTTTCGGCGCGCTCGACGTTAAAAGAGCAGGGGTCGTCCAAAAACCGGCGTGGTCGACGTTTTTTTGGCTCACCGACGTTTTTTTCGGCAAGTTTTGACCAACGACCGCGCCACACACAGACATTGGAAGGTCAGGGCATTAGTGCACACCATGCATCTGGAGATGGCCCTCTGGTATTCGCCATTGCCAAACTTGAAGCGAGGCCTTGGTTCCAGCTCGATGTCATAGGGAAACATCGCCGAGTCGATCAGCTGTGCCATCGACCTGACACCTGCCACGGACTCAGTTGCTCCTGTATCGATCACCACCTTGGAGACAGACATGGCATTCAGTTCACGATCTTCTGCCAGTCTCAACACGTTGATCTCGGCCTGGTAGTCGAAGTCACCCCTTCCGGCTCTTGCCACCGAACTTGCTCTTGCCCTTGGCCTTGCCAGATGAACCCTTTGGAGACGAAGACGGTGATCCCTTCGAGGTTCCAGTTGACCATCTACCTGGGCATTTCGCAGCTATGGCCGAGCTGGCCGCAGATGAAGCGTGGTCCAAAGCCAGTGCCCTTGCCCAGCTCCGAAGGACGAGAGTTGCTTGCCCTTGCCTTTGCCCTTGGGACCGCCGTTCATGCCCACGGGGTTGTAGTAGCCGCGAGCTGCCCGCACCCGAGCAACGGCTTGTTTGGCTTCAGCCAAAGTCTTGTTCTGCTGCAATGGTGTAGGCCTCTTCAAGGCGTTTCTCGCCTTCTGCTTCTTCGGCTGTCTGATCTTGCCCATCACCTTCACCAGGATATAGGCTCTCACCGAGGTCGAAATCAGCCTCATAGTAGGAGTCATCATCCCAGCCTTGCGATGGGGACCAGTCCTGCCAATAGGCTTCCTCAGCCCACCAAGCGGTTGGATCTTCCGCCTGCTGCCACCAGTCATCAGGTTCCAGCCATTCTCCACCTTCATCAGCATACCACACATGCCGTCGAGGGTGTCGTCCGAGGTCATCACCTTGTTCAGCTCCATCAGAAAACAAAGACCTCAAAGCTTGTCGGATCTGGTGGAAGTGGGTTGAGTTGCGAGTCAACGTCAACATATGTTGGCGTTCAGCTTGAGATAGCTTTGCAGACTTCAGCAAGGGATATCCTCTGAGTTCATGTTCAAAGAACTCTGCACTCTCACCTGAAGTTGTCAGTGGAGAGGTCGTCGGTCGAGCTGGCTCCTCATCGAAGGAGATGTCTTCTCTACCAGCGCCAAGTCCAGCTCTTGTGACATTCGGTGACCTAGTCGGCGAGATCGGAGGATCATGCTCACTTGCCCCAACTCCCATGGACTTCACCCCTAGCTTGGCCTTCTCGTGCCTGGCCCTTTGCAGGGCCTGTTGTAGCTCCACGAAGAGCTGCTCGCGCACCAGGAGTTGTGGAATGCTTTCATTCCCAAGCCGCCTGAGGTTGGACCACCTCTCCAGGCGGGAGAAGCTGTCCGGGATGGGCAGCTTCTGGAGGGGCGACTCCGAAGCACCGCCATGAGCCGCTCCAGGCCGCCATCCGTCGAGAAGTCCTTGGGCTCGAGGTGCTTGACCACGCTCCTGGCAACTCCGCTCAACCTTTGCCAAATGCGGGGTGCCGCTAGCTTCTTCTCATTGTCCTTGAGGCCGGACTCATACCACTTGCAGCTTGTGGCGAAGCTTTCAAAGCTCGCCGGGTCTCCATCCCATGTCGGGATCTCTTCACCGCTGGGCATCGAATGCCCCCAAGCAGCCGCCGCCGCCGCCGCCGCCAAGGCGCACAGAACCAGCAGCTCCGCTACCATGCACGAAGGCCTATGCCAAAGGCCTACCGCGGTCCACGATGGACCAAATCGCGCGCGTCCCGCGCTGTTTCACACCAGCGCTCAAGCTCGAGCCCCGCCCTTGCGGGATGTGAACAAACATGACAAAAAGGTCAAGATGCATCTCTGTACTTGCAGTAAGAAAGACATAGAGAAAAGGGTTGCGCGAAGTAGAGAGGTGCATGAAGTGGACAGGGCGCTATTGAAGCGAAATTGACACGTCCCAGGGCGAGTTGGACCCCAAAGGGGTCCCCTAAAATCAGGAATGGCAACTGACCCCAAACTCACATCATTTGGGATGATCCTGGCCCTAAGCTAAAGCTAATTGACTTCAGGTTGCCTGAGTCAATCTTTTGTGCTATTTCCAGGATTTACCTTGATACTGTAGCCTTTCATAGAAAAAAAAAGGGGTCTGTACAGTCTCAAAGCAATGCAATTGCGACGACCATTGTGTGGAGGAGTTCTAGGCATTCTGCACCTTTCAGCCTGTTCGACTCTCGAGCTTCACAAAACTGGCGGCGAAGCCAAGTAGCTACAATGGGTAGTTTAAGAACAGTCAGTGTTCCCTTCGTTCAAAAGATATACAGATATACAGTACCATACCCTTGCCGCTAGATATCAAGTAAGTCTTTAGTCACCATTATATAATGGCTGCGTTTGAGAACTCAGAATGATGTTTATCGTGAGGGATGGGTGGAGATTGCATTGAACAGCAGCAGAAACACTAAGTATCAAAAACACTTTAGCGGAAAGGCAACAAGCCGCTGCAGTAAGTGTAGATGGTGTTCGAACTCGAGTGTAATCTTCGTTGTAGCTCATCGATGTCCCATGTATCAAATGCTGCAAAACATCCAAGTTGCCTTGAGCAAACGAGTTTGCAAACGAAGGCGAAGCCATGAACTGTTATTGACTTGCAGTTCTTGGCGCACATGCAAAGTCATGAAATATGAACCATGTGACGTTGAACCCTTGCCCACCGTCAGCTTCACATCAACCCAAATATTCTGCCAGCCGTTCATCTGCACCCAATCACGAACGAGAAACGCAATTCATCTTGAGTTTCAATGACTGATTTTACCTGATCACCTAACCAATTGAAGATACCTCTGGTTCACAACATGGAGCCTAAATGGCTGCGTGGTTTTGCTCGCGTTGAGCACCACTCATTGTGTCCAACCGATGAACACAAATAGTGTATGTGCTTTGCTGATGTTGACAAGCCGGGATGCTTGGTTGTGGGGTCTGCAGAATGTCCTCTGTCGTTTTGCTTTGGGGTATCCTCTACAATCCCCCACAACCCAAAGAACAACGAATTCAAGCGCACGTATCTGTAGGTTTGGAACAGTAGTTGCCGTGGCTGATGCTGGAACAAAGGAGAACAACACATTTTGCCTGCAAACCGCTGGGCAGCCGCTTCTTTTCCGTCGGAACTGCTTGCAGCCATCTGAACATATTAGGGCAATGTAGTCTGGCTTTGGTGAACTGCTGCATGCTCGGCATGACCTGTTGATGAAAAAAACACAACACCCATTGCTTATCTCACACAACCAGCCTTCAGTTCACAAGAGGCAGGTCGACAAGGCCCACATCGTCCTGCAGAGAATGCAACACATAAAATGAAATGTCAAGTTAGAAAACAGAGTTGACACATTTTGCGACCGCAAAACAAATGCGGAGGAAAATCCGTCCAGAGATTGAAGCAACTCTGCATCCTGGCCTAGGCTTTCACCGAGACAAAATGCAGAATGTAAACTGAGGCATGCAATTAATAATTATTCTGCCAAAGTAGGTGACATATGGTAACATTGCAAACCTGCTTGCTCTACAATATATAGTTTTACGTTTTTTTGTGGAGAATGGATGAGAGCCACGTCCGAGGACTCCATTCCAGTGCTACAAGCAAGTGTCTTCGCTTTGCGTGTTCTCCTCTGGAGACAGTTCAACGTTTAAGTTGCAGTATACAATGTCGGCAGTCAGAGTGAGTGTGCTAATTTGAGCAAACACACTAGTCACTACAGCGTTGTTGCTTTACACGCTTCAATTCCACGGTGCTAAATACGTACTACTGAAGCAAACAAGTTTAGCCACTAACTCACAGACTTTGAGTGGCTGAGATCAGGATCTGTTCGCTTCTCAAGATAAAATATGGCAACAAATCAAACCGCCTAGCGGTGTCCGTAGTTTGCTTGTGGGTATTTCGGTCTGTTGCTCCGTTATACTGAGATCGAGGAACGAGGGGGCATGACTCTGGGCAGTTATTGACTGGTTTACAGTATATATCTGGTTTGAAACTTTTCTCAGACCTCAGTCACGTGCAGAAATGCAAGCAAAAACACATATATTATAGTTTCACCATCTACGTTTACATACATTTGCGTCCACTTCAAAATTTTGCCGCGCTAAATTGTTCCTTGCGAACGTTTCGATTGGCAAGTCTTGATGCACTAGTCACTTGTCAGTCAAACGAGTCAAATAAACATATTGTCACCACCCTCATACCCAGCGAACAAAGTACGTACAGTCTACAAGGCGGCATTTTATTGGAAACACCTCTCTATAGAATTGGATGCCTAAGTTTGACTTTCTGTGAATGCCAAACCACGCAAATCGACAAAATGAGGTGACCAACCTTAAGCAGCAATAAAGGTCTGGCAAGTGGGTCTATGAAGTGACCAGATCATTAAGCTGGAACTTTATTCCTTTTCTATGAAATGACAATCAACTGAACCTATCAGTGCCCTTGGGAACATGCTTGCATGCGGGGGAAATAAGCGAAGCAAAGTCATGTGAACGACAGGTTTTTGGAAACTTTCCAGAGTAACTAGGAAACGGCCTGGAAAAAAATTACGGCAGAATTACTCCAAGAAGGGATTCTGATTTTGCCGCAGGCACCATCCTTAGGGTTTGATGGTTTGTGTCTTTTGCAGTGCGCAATTCAATGAAAGCTGAGAAAGACTTCGGATGTGCACACGCCAAGTGGCACATTGGCGCATCAAGGCCGCTGTGCCTTAGCTGCGGCGTTGTTTGGTTGATCGTTACAATAAAGAACGTTCGCACTAAAAGGATGCACAACCAGCATCTCGGTTTCGCACAACATCAGAAAAAACAGAATCCGACCACTTGTTGTCCTCAAACAGCTGATGTCATCTGGGGTTACTTGCCCTATTGTTAGTACTGCCCAATTTGAATCCTTTTGCCCTTGCTGAGCAGTCCTGATTTCGTCTTCCTTTGTCTCAACGACAGTCTCGTCCTGCAAGTGAAAACTTGTGGGAAATGAATGGATATGATGGATATGGGTGGGCCATGCTTGAAGAAAAAGGGTATATACCAGTTTCCAGTCTTGTAGGCGTGGTGCAAAAGTGCAAAATCCAGCCTCCCTAAGTGAGTGTGTGGCACGGCAAACTACATTCAGTGCCAACAGCTGCATACATAGTCTAATCATCTGCAGTCATGAATTGGTATGACATGATCTGTTTTTTCATGTGGTTTGAGCTTGAAAGCCAAAGCGATGCCAAAGTTGTATTCAAGACTTCAATGAATGCGGAATGTCGTCGTGTTGCGACCCACAAGATAGATACAAACTCCACGGGGCCTGCAGGATTCTCAATGGTCGACAGCGTCAGCCATGTGCTTTGTGATAAGACTGTTTGATTGATGTTGCGTGCAGGTTTTGAACATGCCGCCGGGGTGCAGTGCTTGCAATCTGGCTTGGCATAATAGGTAGCAATTTGCTGCCACTTGTATGGAGCCGGACCAATCTAGATAAGCTTTGCCATCTGGCGCCGATAGGTGCAAAATAATAACATTAGATACCATTAGTGCATAGATGCGGATAGCGTGTCTTATCCGCAGTCTGCGCGCAAAAGGATCGTGTGTATCGTTAACGAACCATTTTGAGCTACCCTGGGGAACTCTGAAACGCTCCTGTTTTCTCGAGCGTCAAAGGGTCTCATGCGGTACCGTAGTGACATGTTCCAAGCCACACACCCCGCCAACCTCGATCCAACTTAGGTGTGTGAGAGGTTTCGTGGCTTGGGAATTTCTTGTGGCCATCAACTTCAAGCCTAGCGTCCATGAGTCTCTATCATCTATAGAGCTCTGAAAAGGACCACGTGAATGTTGACGACTCAACGTCAAAAACTCTCAGTCATCTCGACCGATCCACTGATTTCATTCGAATCCTCTCAACTTCTGGCTCAATCTCTGAAGGTTCATCTTCAGGCTCTGTGTCTCGTCCTGTTCTCACTGCTCTATTGTAGTCAATCCTTCTTCGCACTGAACGATTGCGGTTTGCATCTGCTACCAGATTTGCTCCGATCTCGGTTTCCGGCTCATCCTCAACTTCTCATGACTCCTCTGAACTCTCAAAAAGATCACTTTCAATGAGATGTTCCTCAATCCACCTGTCTGGGTTCTCTGACTCCCACGGAAATTCTGCATGAGAAGAAGAAGCGTCAACGTCTTCCTCCTCCTCTTGCTCTTCTTCATACTCAACGCCTCCTCGAACATGTGCCCTGTAGAACTGGCGACCTGCCATACCAAGTCCTTCTTCCCCCAATGCAATGTTGGTGTCTGCAACTATTGCTTCACCCTCAGCGTTGATGATGGCCAAGGTTCCATGGCCATTTGTGCCAAAATCAACTGGTAACTGGGCTATCCTCTTCAATCTCAACCTCCTCTTCAACTTCTTCCAGCTCACCAATTGGCGACCTGCAACTTGGTCTGGGCGAATGTAGCCAGCCTGCGCATCCTCACTCAAGCTGTCTGTATTGTTCGAATCCGGCTCGTCCTCATCTCTAACGGCAGCTGCTTCAACACCGTCTAAATCATCATGTTCTGCGCGTGACTCCTCATCTCGGTTCAAGTCAAGTTCATGAGCCTCTGAACCAACAACATGCTCTGGAACACGCTCCTGCTCTGCTGATCCCAAAGCATGCCCTGAAGATTCCGAAGCCTCCTCTCGAATTGCGGTTTCATCCTCTGTTTGAACTCCTTGTTCAGCATGGTCTGTCGCTGTCTGAGTTTTTCCTGATCATGCTGCTCTGGTGTCTCTGTCTCTCCCCCGCTCATTGCAAGAACCCTCCGCCAAACAAATCCAGCGAAGCCAGCGAAAAGCGAAAGAACGACCGTCCACATAAATGCGCTCGCAAGCTCAAGACCCTCACAAGAATGACCTTCTGTGCCCTGAACTAAGCTCAACAACAATGCGCACATTGAGTTGGACTGCGTTGCCTTGTTGGGTCCTATTGCCCCGAGCGATCCATGTGTGTTCTATTCAATATTCTCGTCTTGGTAGATTGTTTCACCGTCTCCATACTCCGTGCCATGCAAGAACATGAGCATACAATGCCTACGGAATGCCAACTTCTTTGCGCGCAAGTCTGCGGGATTGAACTTTGTGGGAACCTGATGGAAAGTGAATTCCTGCCTTTGAACCATCTGTTGAATCCACAAAAGTTTCCCTTGCAACCGCCTAACACGACATACTCCAAGCTTGTTTGCTATCTGCCTTGCTGCGCTGTTGTCTGGGATGAGCTTGCAACGCGCGTCAGCATCTTTTCTCACGAACTTCACCGATGCTTTGATGTAGAGCAAGTCGATGGCGCAGGACGTCGTGCTGTACCACTCACTTTCAGTCGGGCTCAACGCAATCAACTTCTGAGTTCTAGAAGATGAATAGGTTGGAACTCCGTTAAGAACATGTGAGCTTCCTGAAGTCGACTCGCATCCTGAACTACCTAGCCAGTCTGCATCGCTATATCTCTCGACCAAGATCTTACTTGTTTGCTGTTCTCCTCCATTCAACTTGCAAAACAAACTCTGTCACACTGTAGCTAATCAACTGTCCCAAACACTCCCAAGCATGAACCGTTCGCGTTTTGAGATATGATGCAAGTGATTTGGTCGTGAACTGCAAATCTACCCTGTCGTGACTCAGATACATGAGCGACC